AAAAAAAAAAAAAAAAAAAGCATGCATGCATGCATGTATGCATATTAGAATGATGATGAACAAAGAGAAAGAGGAAAAATAACGTTAAAAAAAGAAAACCAGTCAAAACAAACAAAAAATACCATTAACTCTGTAGCAAACATGCAGGAATAGGAGCAAAGCCACGTGACAATTCCGAAACGAACGAGAGCGTGGAAGGGAGAAATAGAACGGTTCAGTTAAGGACCGCTGAACAAAGGATACACCTTAGCAGATCGAACTGATTAGGTGTTCTCTTACTGGAACGCGAGATAAAACTGCATACATTTTTATGGGATAATCGTGGACCAGGTGGACGAAGGATGTAGTAAAAGGATTGACGAAAGTGTAGCTTAATACCAAACCTTTTCAAGGTAGTCCAAAGACTATTGGACATTGCAGTAATAGTGTCTTTAAGAGACTATTGACATTGTCTAAAGAAATTAAGTAGATTATTCGCCGATATGCGTCTCAACCATGCATTACCTCGAGCACTGCCAGTTTTGTACAATAATTCGTTTTTGTTTTGGGACAGAGTTACATGGTACATGCATCTGAATTTTGAATGATCTCGTGATTCAGCTTTGCTCGTACAAATTCTACGAATACAATGAGTTCCCCTGTGTTAGTAATGTCGTGATCTGTGTTAATAGTTAATTAATATGTTCTGATGTAGTGTCTTCATTTATACCCGCCAAGAAGAGCTTCGGCATTTATCATTACACAACCTGACCTGACAGGCATATTGGTCGTATTATGAATCATAATATTCCTGTCTAAAATAAAATTGTGCAAGAGCTGTTTGTGGAAGTGTAACTGGTTTGTTGTGTGACTGAGAATAACTTCAGAATTTTTCCACCCACTGAGCCACCTTCTAAGAAATGAATAAGCTGTCGGCCGGATCTCTCTATTTCTAAGAAGTATGATCATAAATGGACACTGTTTATCTCGGTCAACCATGTTATCTTATGCTCCCATTGTAGTACAGAATAGGGGGTTAAAAGTTACTCCCCCCTGGTTTTCCGCGTTGTGCAAATATATAGAGATGAACTCTGAATCGTTATCCACAATACGTGATGACTGAGATGTTAGATTTGAATAAGTAATTAAATAATATTTGAATGAATAAATGAAATTATTATAAAAAGAGCGAGTAACAATTTCCTATAATTTACTTCAATTTATAAAAGTACATTGCTGAACATTAACCGGCCCTAATTGTACTGAACCCGAGAAGTATCAAAACTAACGGAAAGCAAGAGAGGAATTCCAAGAACCAACCTGAACAGCTGTGGCCATTTCCAACGTACCCTGGTTTGCAACTACAGTTGAAGGACCCTTCCATGTTGGTGCAGGTGGCATTTTCGCTACAATTGTGAGAGTTTTTCAGGCATTCGTCTGCGTCTGAGTGATAATTAAAGTAAATATTAAACAGGTAGTCAATATAGCCACCAGTATAACATAATCATATAGTCAGTTACGGTTAAAACACATTCCCTTTCTCGCACTGATTTCAGAGCAAGTCATCAGTCACCTCTCAAACTAAGGCGAATTGTTTTAAAGGGATTTGAAAAAACCAAAGAATTTTACCTGTACAATTGTATCCATCACCTTCGTACCCTGGCTTACAGGAGCAAGTGAATGATCCTTGAGTGTTATTACACCAAGCGTTTTTATGACAGCTATTATTTGCAGCGTTGCACTCATCTATGTCTGAAGAATAAACCCAGTAAATTTTAAGCTGCTGGTACGAGAAAAGATAAACATAAACACTTCAAAAGTGCATTATCTGTCGTATTAGAGGAATTCCACAACAACTTAGCAAGCACCCACCTGAACAGTTGCAGCCATTCCCACTGTACCCTGATTTGCAACCACTGCAGTTAAAGGAACCTTTGGTGTTAATGCAGATGGCATTGTTGCTACAATTATGAGAGCTGATCTGGCATTCGTCTATATCTGAATGTTAATTAATTTTCGTTAAGATGCGTCTTGAATCAATTCTGCGCAGGACAGTATGTGATAACAAGGATGTATTATGTACTAAAGCTTACGGAATGCGGACGACAGCGAAGGTCTGACATGATGCTCTTGCTCAACCAACGCTGTGCTTTGCGTAAGTTTTAGTGATAGAAAGTCAAATCAGGCGTAATTAGATAACGAGTGATAGAAGGTCCAGACGAGCGTTATC